CTAAAGGAGCATCTACAATGTTTTTGCTAATTTTCCTGAAAATCTTTGAATGCAAAGCATGGGAATTGCCGCTTGTTTGTGCCATTATTTCCATCATTACCGTCGTTTTATTTAGATTAATCCTCGTGACTTTCAGGTTCAATGTTAATTACTCTGGCCCATCCCTCTACTGTAATACTGTTGCAAACTATTCACTCAGGAAGGCTGTCACATCCATACATTCAGCGACAAGGTCTCCATTATTAGTATTTGCACAGTTTACATTATTCCTGTTTCTCTCACAAGATAATTGTAGCAATGATTTGCGTCAATTTCACAGCATTACCTTACTCCATTTTTATTGGTCACAACTGTTTTATCACCCTTTGCTGTTCTTCATTTATTGCCCATTCACCAGCATTTCAGCTTTTTCTTAATCTTTGGGGTTTTTTTTCTTTTAATTTTATATGGTTTTTGACCTCTTTAGTCATCCATGGCTGTTCTTTGCCAAGTAAAACTCTTGCCCCTCAAGGCTATGAACTGTTTTATGTCACATTAAATTTGTTTTCTTTTAAAAGCACTTTGCACTGGCTGTTATTTTCTCCATTACCAGGTTTTAATAGTTCACTGTGGACAATCCCTGCCTCATTAAAGTCATCCCTAACTAAATCCAGAAATCCCAGCAGCTATCCTGCATTTTTCCTTTCCAAATATGGTTCATTTTATGGCCACCATTAGGCCAATATTCACACCCCATGTGACTGCTGATGACATCTGATTCATTAATTAATCTAAATCTAACATTGCGTGTCCTTTGTTAGTTCCAGGTAACAGCAAGTAATGGAGTTCAATGTTTGGTGTTTGGTACTGCAGTTTATCTGTAATAAGTTGCGTCTCTTTCTCAGGTTGAAGAAATATTGACACAAAAAGCCAGAAATTGACCAAAGCCATGATCATTTCCATCTAGAAGGACAAGGATAACAAATACATGGGAATACCACCCCCTGCAAGTTCCTCTCCAAGCCACTCACCACCCTGTCTTGGAAATTTATTGCCATTCCTTCACTGAATCAAGATCCCAGAATTCCCTCCCTAATGGCATTGTGGGTCTACCTACAGCACATGGACTGCAGCGGTTCAAGAAGGCAGCTCATCACCACCTTCTCCAGGGCAACTAGGGATGGGCCATAAATTCTGTCCCAGCCAGTGATGCTCACATCCCAAGTGGGAATTAAAATATAGATCCATGCTCTAATATAGGAGATACACTGCAGACAGCATACTGTATGAGGGAGATAGTTTATTTTGCAGAGATTGGTCAGCTACAGTCTTGTGGCTCTAAAATGGATTGCTGCAAGTGAACAGCAGGGCCCTCTGAGCTGTGAACAGGTGTGAAAAAGTCTGAGCACATAGGAGGCTGTATTTGGGAATTTCAAGAACGCAGTCCCTTAAGCAAGCTCCAAGACTGCTCTTCTGGCAGTACATTACCGTACACACTCCAGTACAGGAACTTGTGGATTTCCCACTTGTGATCCAATAACCCTACAGTGGACATCATTCCCCATTCTAGTGTCAAAGAAAGTTTGTAACGATAAAACAAAAAGGTCTCATTCAAGTTGGTTTAAAAACGATGACTGAACTCATAATTCGTGTACAAATTCTGCAGTTGCGTTCTGGCTAATAGTTTCACAGACCGAGTTTGATAGAGCCCACAGCATTTCCATTCCACTGCAGTGGCTGAATGAATGAATGACAACAGCTTACAAAAGTAGTGAATGAATTCATGGGCATTTTGCCTAACATTAAGTCCATCCGTGTTTCTAACTGATTTCTTATAAAAGTAAGATCACATCAACTCAATTCCATGGCAACCTATAAGAATGGTTCTTAACTTCTGCTATGTTTACCGCTGATTTCTTTTCAAGTGAATAATTACCGACCAGAAACCAAAATCCCCTCATTTCTGAGCCAGTTTATGATCGTACACTCTCTCCTATCTCCAACACATTAAGTCCCGGCTCCCACAGTTTTGAAAAATGTCTCCTCATTAAAAAGCTTCAACTCCTGATGTATTGTCAACTATAGGGCACATAGCTACTCCCAAAGAAAAGAGCAAAGGCAGTCACAAGGAGATAGAGTTTCTCCTGCGTCAGTCCTAAAGGAAAAATCATGTTGGACCAACACTTTTAAAAACTTTTGAAGAGATAAAAGATAGAGCTGACAGTGGTCAAGTAGTCCACATGATTTAGAGATAGTAAGAATTGCCTTTGCTGGAGTCAGAGATAACACAGTGTGGAGCTGGAGGAGCACAGCAGGCCAGGCAGCATCAGAGGAGCAGGAGAGTTGACGTTTCGGGTTGGGCTGACAAACGACAACACCTTCCGGTCACCAATGATTTCAACTCCTCCTCCCACTTCCTGGGCAACATGTCCAACCTGGGCCTCCTCCAGTGTCACAATGGCGCCACCCGCAAACTGGAGGAGCAGCATCCCATATTCCGCCTCAGGAGCCTACAGCTCAATGGTCTCAAAGTCCATAGACTTTACCAGTTTTAAAATCTCCCCACCCCCAGCCTCATCCCATTATCAACCCTCCCTCTCATCCCCGCTACCTTGACCTGACACAACCTGTCCATCTTCTCTCCCATTTATCCGCTCCTCCCACCTCACTGACCAATCCCCACCACTGCCTACCTGCACTCACCTATCACTATCCCACCTATCTTCCCCAGCCCCACCCCTCCTGTCTGTCCTTATTTCTGAGCTCCCTACTCCCTCCCCCATTTCTGAAGAAGGGTCCCGACCTGAAACGTAAGTTTTCCTGCTCCCCTGATGTTGCCTGGCCTGCTGTGTTCCTCCAGCTCCAAACTGTGTAGACGTAATTTATCTGGCTTTTCAAAAGCCTTCTATTAGGAGTGACATGATAAATAATAAATTAACTCAGTGAAGATGGGGTCAGGGATGAGCAGCAGAACATATTGCTAGCTGCCTTCATGACAGAAAGCAGAGAGTTTCACAAGGATTTGACTGCTACTGATCATAATTTACATTGTTAATTTTGACTCGGGAATCAAAAACAACTTTGGAATTTGCCAACGACACCAAAATGGGGGTGTTATGGTCAATGTGGAGAAGGGCTGCAACAAATTATAGGAAGACGTGAATAAACTTGCAGAATGCTCAAATAATTGACAATTGAAGCTCAATACATGTAAGGTGATAAATTTCGGTAAGAAGAATAAAGAAATCACCTGGCACTTACATAGCACAAGTCTAAGTGAGGTAAAGGAACAAAGGGGACTAGGATAACAAGGTGTAGAGCTGGATGAACACAGCAGGCCAAACAGCATCAGAGGAGTAGGCAAGCTGACGTTTCAGGCCTAGACCCTTCTTCAGAAAAAAAAGGGGACTAGGATTTTTTTTATTCATACATGAGGGCATCGCTGGTTAAGCCAGCATTTGTTGCCCAAGAGGGCAAGAGTCAAGCACATTGCTGTGGGTCTGGAGTCACATGTCGGCCAGGCCAGGTAAGGATGGCAGTTTCCTTCCCCAAGAGACATTAAACCAAATATATCAATTACTAAACATGAGATTTGAACTCACAAACAGCCCAAAGATCATGAAGCAGGGATTCCTTTATTCCACTGACAACAGGTCATGATGAACAGGAAGGAAAATTCAGGATAAGAAGTGAACTATTTACAGTATGTACATGGAATCCCTTCCCTCACTGTTGCCTCTTGCTGCTTGAGGCCTGATTATAGCTGTCCAACAAATTAACGAGGCCATAATGAAACAAAGCAAGGCTTTATTTCTGAGCAGGACAGAATTTAAGAAAATAGGTAATTTGGGCCGAATCTGTTTCGAACCTTGGTTAGGCCACACTTAGGGTTCAGTATGCAGATTATAATATTAAAAAAAAGAGGCTCTGAAGAGGATGCAGAGAAAAATTACAAGAATGATACTAGAAATGTGTGCGTATAAATGTCAAGAAAGGATCTCTCTTGCAAATCCAAGACCGCCCTTATAGATGTCTGAGAGTTATAAAAGGTTTTGATAAAGAAGATACAGAAATATTGCTTTCTCTTGTGGAGATGAGCAGAACTAAAGGCTGTAAATATAAAATGGACACCAATATATCCAACAGGGAATTCAGAAGAAACACCTTCACCTAAAGAGTAATGAGAATGTTGAACTTGATTCCATAAGGTGTGGCTGAAGTGAATATTTCAGATGCATTTAAAGGAAAGTTTGACAGCATCTGAGGAAGAAGGGAAAAGAGGGATACAATGGTGAGACTGATGAAGAAAGATGGAGGCTTGAGTGAAGCATATATACTGCCAAGGGCTCGTTGGGCTAAATGGTCTGGTTCGTTGGCAGATGTCCTGCATCATCCTGTCCTGCATAGTCCTAAAATCAGCAAATTACATGTAGAGAGAAGCTACATCACGTGAAATGTGGGTTTGTTTTTAAAAGCTTGATGATAACGGTTTCTCTGTTACACTAATGATTACAGCTCGATATCTGTCAAGCCCTTCAGGATGTTCTTATGTTGCAAAAAAGTAAAAGCCAAATCTTAAAGTCCAAATATATTCTTTCAACTCAGACCTATCTTTGAAATAATATGACTCATCAACATCATAGAATCCCTGCCGTGTAGTAGTAGGCCATTCGGCCCATCCATCTACATTGACCCTCCGAAGAGCATCCCATCCAGACCCACCACCCCTACTCCATCCCTGTAACCCTGCATTTCCCATGGCTAATCCACCCAGCCTGCTTATCCCTGGACATTCTGGGCAATTTCCCACAGCCAATCCAGCTAACCTTCGCATCTTTGGACTGTGGGAGGAAACCCACGCAGACACGGGGAGAATGTGCAAACTCCACACAGACAGTCACCTGAGGGTGGAATCAAACCCGGGTCCCTGGCGCTGTGAGGCAGCAGTGATAACCACTGAGCCCAACAGCCAGTCGACCAAGTGCAAAACAGCAGATTAAGATACCACATATTTCCCATACCTGAGGGTACAACGCTTTCAACATATCCTCCAAGTGAATCATCTTTCCGTGCTGAGAGCTTGCAACATCCAAGTAAACACCAGCAGGCCGCACAGCGACATTATCACCAATAATACAAACAAAAGCAGTGGGGAGGGCTCTCCCAGGACAAATTGCCAACACAGTCACCTCGCTAAGTGGATTGTATGCTACAGAAGGTCCGCACTCCCTATGGCCTGGTTGTCACAATGTAGGGCATGCCCTTACACATCTCTCCAATCTGCTTTAAGGTGGTTAGGGGAACTTTGTGGCAAGGTGAGGCCAGGTATAAAGGTAAATTGCTGTGCCCACCAGGAAGTGAGCAAACCAAGCAGCAGAGTTGAATTCATCTTTGTGCAATGTGTCTCAGTTATTAGCGCTTCAGGCTGTAAATCATAACATCCTGGGTTCAAATCGCACTCGAGTCCAAAGTGGAGAAAGCACGGTAGTCCCTATTGATTAAAGTTCAAAGACCCGGAGAACAGACATAGACCTTCCACCAGAATGAAAGTCACACAGTCAGGTGCTTTTTACTGAGGCAGGTTTAGCTGCTTTGAGCATTTTCTTATTTTAGCTCTCCACCTCAATCACCAAAATCCCACCTCCAAGTCTCTATCTTCCCTCTCAGCTCCAATACACTATTCAAAGATGACCAGAGAATTCTCTTCACTGAACAAAAAGAAAACAAAATAACTGCAGATGCTGGAAATCTGAAATAAAAACAGAAATCACTGGTAAAGCTCAGCATCTGTGGAGAGAAATCAGAGTTAACATTTCGTGTTCTATGACCCTTCTTCAGAACCCCACTGTCCTGAGCAATATCATCCCCTCAAAAACATCAGGAGAAGAAATTAACTAAGCCTTGTATCTGACCGTGCCCCTGACATTGTAACATTGGCTGCACTCCAGAAGCTCTAAAGTGCTTTGAAACATCCATAGGACTCATAAACAATCTGAACAAGAAAAGAAATCCACATAACTGACCTACAGGGTGAAATTTCCAAGCCATTACCGCTGCTGTCTGAATACTCCCAGCCATTTATTGACAATTATTGTTTTGAAGAGAAAGGCCAGTTTAATCAATATCGTAAACCTGGGACAATCTTTCATTTTTAATTCCTTACATCTTAACCGAGAGGCGTGACCACTTCTCGTCACCGCTCACAGTTGTCAGACCAGCACGCAGTCAGAATGCATCAATTATTCAGCCTTGAGCAAGGGAGTGAGCGCCACTCCTTCTCATTAAAGAGGTGAACAACTGCTCCCTGATACTACCTGCAGGTGCCTGATGTTGCAAATCCTTCCACTGCATGAGGCAGAACGCTATGTAAAGAACGATCAATGTTCTTGCACCGAGACTCTCTGCAATATTGCCAAACTAACCAGCATCTTCTGCCCATTTCAGGATGGAGGTCACTTCATTGCCAAAGGTGGTATTGCACTGCCTCCGAACCGATGCTGCACTCACACCCACGGTGCCTTCATTTGCCTTGACGCCACAGAGATAGGCCGTTGCTGTGCCAGCGCTGTCAGGTACCTGGGCATTGGTGTTATAAGTCTGGCAAATGAAAGGGAAAGAGATGGCATCCAGGTCAAAATTACTGCAATCTGTCCTTCCAACTGGAAGAGCCACAGTCGCAATAAATCCAATACAAGCAGCAAAACAAAATTACAGCTTATGAATGAGATTTAAAAATTGCATTCTCACAACCCGAGACTTTGTTGTGCATTTGACTATTTTGTGACACTGGCAACAATTACATAATCCATTTGCAGCCGGATGCATTTACTGACAGGATGCCACAGGGCAGTCAGGAGGACGCAAGCCTGTTGTTATGACACCTGCCAAGCCTGGGGTTATTTCCTGTGTCAGGGTTTATATTGGCCCACATCCACCCAGAGGAGAATCAAAACTTTCTTGCCACTTTACGGAGAGGGAAATACCTCTTTCTGAATAACTAAGAAACTGCTGACACCTGAGCGTGGCCCTCCAAGATCTACAGGGGATAAAGTTCAGACGCTGGCCCTAAGATTGAAAGCTCTTGGCTATAAATAAACACAAACTTCATTTAGATAATGAGCTACCTTTGAAAGAGCTACATGTGGGAACTTATCCATTTCCAAGAAGCCTTCCTCTCCAGTTTTCCTTTCCAGCTGGCCTTTCAGTATCCGAGCAGCAGTCACTGTAGGTATCCCCATTCCTAGAAATAAAAAAGAAAAAAAGAGTATCAGGAAATTATAATATCACCACTGAGTTCTTCCTTTCCCTCAATGTTTGTCCACATCTGGCTTTCTGTCTGATGATAGGACCCACTTCTTTGTATTTTTTTATTCATTTTTTAATTGCAGGATAAAATGTAAAAGGATTATTTTAAACCAAGGACGGTAGACAGAATTGTTGTACTTTTGATAACAACTCCTTGGAACTCATTGTGATTTGGGTTACGCTGCTGCCCAGTTCAAGCAGTTGAGGAGGTGAGTTAAGATGACATTGCACTGGGAGCGTGTGCACACAGTGATTTGCCTGGAACGGGTAGCTGATGTAGTTCCTGGATGTCATCAGACCGACGAGAGCTCTCTGATTGGCTCCTGTGCAACTTGGATCTTTGCAATAGAAGGTGGGAAGCCTCTGGGTTCTGGAAGAGCAGCTTCTGTGTTTTCTCCTACCAGTTGCTCTAAGCTGTTACCTTTAACCATTAGTGAAGAGATTTTGTAAGCAGTGTACAAATTGCCCTGTTCCTCATGTGAAAAAGTGAAAGAACCTGGAGATGGATATTGAAGAAGAGAAACTCTTGGGAAGCATCTCATCAAATTCTGTGGACTGGTACTATTGAACTGTGTTTCCCCACATAGAGGATTGGCTAACTAAGAGGAGACAGAGAGTTGGGATAATGGGGGGCATTTTCAGGTTGGCAACCTGTAACTAGTGGAGCGCTACAGGGCTCGGTGCTAGGGCACTGTATTAGTTATAATATAGATTAATGACTTGCATGAGGAAAGTGAATGCTCGATATCCCAGTTTGGAGAAGACAAATAAATAGGTGGGAAAGCAAGTGGTGAGGATGACACAAGCAGTCCGTAGAGGGATATAGAGGTTAAATGAATGGGCAAAAACTTGGCAGATGGAATACAATGTGGGAAATTGTGTATGCACTATTCTTTATTCCTTTGCTTTTAAATAACTGTATTACATTGGCAATTTTCCAATCCTGAGGCACTTTTCCACAATCCAAGAATTCTTTGAAGATTACTAACTAGGATGCATATAGTCACTTGGGCTGCTCTCTTCCATTTTACACATTTCGAGAAGCTCTTACTGTCTGCCTTGAAAGTACTTGCAAGTTTATCCTCAAAGTTTATTTAAAAGAATGACAGATTTCAGGTTGGAAAAAAAAAGAGAGAAGTAGGCTGAATTAAGAATGCTTAGCAGGTAGTGGAAAAGAAAATACAAGAGGCTAACTGAGAGTGGAAGAAGAAATTAGAAGCTAACAGGAAGGAAAATCCAGAGGTCTTCTATCACATATCAATAGTAAAAAGAGCAGTAAGGCGAATTCAGCACCAAAAGAGCACATGGGCCCAGGGACAAGGGGGACAGCTGAGGTATTACATCAATACTTCACATTTGTTTTAAAATTCTTTCCCACTGCTGAGGTTAAGCAAACTGGCCTCTCATTAATAGTAAATGTCTTTTCCCTGGGATGGGGGTTTCAAGACTAGGGGGTACATTTTTAAGGTGAGAGGAGAGAAATTGAAAAGAAAACATGAGGGGCAAAGTTTTTACACAGAGGGTGTTTCGCGTGAGGAATAAACTTCCCGAGGAAGTGGTGGATATAGGAACAATTACAAAGTTTAAAAGACACTTAGATAAGTACATGAATAGAAAAAGTTTGGAGGGATATGGGCCAAGAGCAGGCAGCTGGGACTTGTTTAAATTTGGGATTATGGACTGGTTGTACCAAAGGATCTGTTTCTTTAGCTGTGTGACTCTATGACTATAAGAGTGTGTCAATTAAGATTTCCCTGTCCTCTGGGACTAGCCCTGTTTCTAAGGAGGATTATTATGGTCTATTCCTTTATCCTCTTTTCCCACAGTACCCATAGACAATCCCCAACAGTTTTAGTGACATATCAACTTTAATACAGGCAGCTTTTCTACACCTTTTCTTAATCATTTTTAGACAGTTTAGTTATTTGATAGAATAAACTTTGATATTGCTGAAAAAGACATAGTCAAAGTCTTTTGTCTTTTTACAGCAACACTATCCAATATCTCAACAATTTCCTCTTTCACTCGGACTCTGATAGCATTTTCTTCCTTGGTAAAGACATATGCAAAGGATTCGAATTTTCTGAGTATGTGTTAATGGTTTCGACTTTGGTGTAAAAGGCATAAGTTCAAAACTTGGACATGACAAAAATAACTTGGAAATACTGTGTGCTGTGAGGGGGGCAGAGAAAATCTTCAAGAGGAAGATGCAGGTCAGTGAGGTGGATGGACAAGTGGCAGGTGAAATTCAATGCAGGAAAGTACAAAGTGGGTACATCTTGGTCACAGCAATAAAGAAAAACAAAACAAAATAAGGTGTGAAATTCTAATGACAGGGACAAAGGTACATGTAGATATATGTGTACAAATCATTGATAGTGACAGAACTGGTTAAGAATGTGGTTAAAAAGATGCACAGGATTAAGAGTCATAAAACATTATAAAGCAATTTTTTGTCCTCAACTGGAGCACTGCATCCATTTCTGGACAGTGCAAAAGGATATGAAGGATATGAAGATTCAGGCAGGAATGCAGAATAGGTGAACAAGAATGGAGCTAGACAATGAGAGATTTTGGTTGTGAGGACCGTTTGGGGGAGCTGTGGTTATTTTCCTTTGAGGAGAGAAGGCTGAGAGAAGTTTTGATAGAGATGTTAAAAATCTCAAGGGGTCTGGATGGGAGAGAGAGTGAAACTATTCGCAATGATGGATGGCTCAGGAACCATGGGATACTGATGGGATTAGCCAAAGAACCAATGACAACCTGAGGAAAATCTCTTTGACAAACTGAGTGGTTAGAATCTGGAATGCACTGCCTGTGAATGTGACTTGACCCCATCTTTCCAAGGAGAAACAGAGAAGGAACAGAAGTAGAGAGGGAATTGTTAGGCTAAAAGGAAAGGAGTGAGATGAGCTAATATGCTCTTGTCGAGAGCTGTTACAGACTTATGGGACCAAATAGCCAATCGCTATGCTGATGAGATTTCTTCACCTAGAGAGTGGGGAGCCTGTGGAGTTCTCTGCCATGGAAAGTGACAGAGGCCAAAACATTGAACATTTTCAAGTGGAAGATAGATATAGTTCTTAGGGTAAGGGGAGAAAGTGGGAACAGGGGACTGAGTTGATCAGCCATGATCCTATAGAATGGTAGAGCAGTCTTGAAGGGTCAATGGTCTACTTCAACTCCTATTTTCTATGTATCTAATTGATTCATGGAGAAGGTGCAAGGTGATTATAAGGTACACTAACAAAGACATAGGAAGGGCTATGCACTTACATTTTCCTCACAAGGATCTGTGTCTATGTAAAGAAGCCCAAACATATGATAATAAACATTTCATGGTCATCACAGTTGGCCAATGCAGCTCATTGTATTCTCACCACCTCAAGCCAGGAGGCAAGAAATGGATCTTATTATGGGAAACTGTGATGAGAATTACAACACAGAGAATATACAGCACAGAAACTGGTAATTCAACATGACTGGCCCTTGCTGGTGGTCACACAATAGATAACTCAACAAATCCTAGTAGATTGTCCAGATAATGGGACACATACCATCTCCAAGGAAAAGTATAATATTTTTCGCAACGCCAGTGTTAAGGTTTTGTAGGTTGAGCGCTCGCTTCAGTGTTTCTTGGGCTTGGTTCCTCCAGTACGTTGGGTTCATTTCATGCTCTACAATATAGAAAACAAGGCAATCAGACCAAGGGAATCTCCACATCTTTGGGACCTGCTTGATCCACTAAAATAGAATTAACCAAAACCTCAGAGAAGTGCATCTCCCAAGCGTTTCACACTAAACATAAGTTGTTTTGGTCTCCATAACTTGTGCCAAAGATTCATCCATTTAGGTAGTAGTTTTACAGATGCCATTCTGTACTAATTCTTTACTTTGGTGCAATTTCCAAATAGTTTTCCTCCAGTTTCTCATACTTGGCAGGAATCAAATATCAAATTGTCTTTCCTCATTTTACTGGCAACTGAGAAGGAACCTAATGTATGTCTTTATTCCAGATGGTGATAAATTATAATGGTACACAGGATTATCTATGGGTCTATGCAATTGTACAACAAGTTTCCATTCAGTGCTAACCTCTTGGAACCCCCAGATGAAATGAAGGCGGCAATAAAGAATGTGGGGAAAAGGCAGGGAGATTAGCACTTGACAACAGAACCATTTCAGGCACGATGGGCCAAACGGCCTCCTTCTGTGCCACAACATTTCTGTGACTCTGTGATCAGTGTCGGCTGGAATAGGAGACAGGAGTCTTGATTCCCCATTTACCCATTAAAACCAATTTCTTTACATGGAATATGGGCATCACTGGCAGGGCCAAAAGTGAGTGGCCAGCCCAAACTGCCCTTGAGTTAAGAAGCTTGCTGGGGCCATTTCAGGGAGCGAAAGGGACAAGCAGGTTGCTGTGGGTCTGGAGTCACAGATAGGGACAGACCAGGGAAGAATGGCAGATTTCCTTCCCTCAAGGACATTAGCGAACCAGATGGGTTTTCAAACAACAATTAATAAGAGTTCAATGGCCACCATCACAATATCCAAGATTTATGAGATGGATTCAAATCCCTACAGCTACTAATGGTGCAGATTTGAAACCATGTTCCAAGAGCATTCATCTCCAGAATTACCAACCCAGCAACACTACCACTACACCACCATCTACAACTGACACCAGCTTGGCCTGGAGAAATGGGTCTTCCTGCTAACCATCAGCAGAGTTTATGAGTTAACTCGAATGTACTTACCGACACCTTTCACTGAAAACAAAGGAGCATGTGAGTAAGAAGAGGAAAGCATTTGTGGGAGAGACAAGGGTGGACAGAAATGTCCTTGCAACCATTTGTTTTCAGTAGAGAAGAAACAACATTCTTGACCCAAAGACTGGGCATATCATCCAAACCATACCGATACTAACAAGCAAATAGGTATGGATTGTCCGCGCACTGTAAACACAACCCCTAAACTGTTCAAAGAGTAGAGACAAAGCAGGCATCCACAGAAAATGTTTGCTTAATTTGTTTTGCTTGCATTTCAGTCCTTTGATTCCACTCGCAGTGGGATGGTGACAGGTCCAAAATACAGTTCCTGTTTGTGGCACAGTTATTACACACAGTAATAACATGTTCTTGGAGGAGAGAAAGCACTTCAAGCTCATCATTATTGCATGTGTAGGAAACAGTTAATCTGCAATGATGCACAACAAATTCCAAACATGCGCAGGAAGAGATGAGAAGCGAGCTTTCCCCAGCAAAAATCTCTCGAGGCAAGTTGTAAAGATTCAGCAGAGATCTAGAAATGCATGCATGCTCCAGGGAACAGTCAGACCAGAGCCCCACAGCATCCCGCTCCCAGCAGATTAAGAGAAATGACACAACAAATGGAACATAAAATGAACGAAGATGGACCTCTGAGCTCAGCCTAACCTGGAGGTGGGCGGCGGATCTGATGATAGATTCGTTTTTTCTTGAGTCCAGCCGGTGGGGCGAAGCCTATTGAAGTCGAACAGACGGGAACATGAAGTTTGCTTGAAAGGGATTTATTTTTGACCACGGGATACAGGCAACAGCAACAGTACAAAGATGAATAAAAATAAACTTCAAATGGGAGGCTCCACTGGGGTTTGTGACCTTTGGGGGTGGGCGGGGGGGATGTTTCAAGGTGACTGGGCATTGAAAGAAATTGAGGGCTTAATTAAAGGGCAATAGGAAGCAGCGTACTGGGTTGTCACAATCCCAGAGCCCATTTGGTGATGGAAAGCCATTCGTGGACAGTAGTCTAGCAGAAGGGACCTTGCATCCATAAAATCAGAGTTTACAGAACGTGCAAAGGCCATTCTGCCCATTGAGGTCATGCCAGTTCCCTGTACAGCAATGCAGTCAGCCCTATTCTCCTCCCTATCCCTGTAGCCTCGCAGGTTTATTCTTGTGGATTTGCCCCCAATTTCTTTTTGACACCTCTGCTTCATTCCCGTGCTGTAGAATGCACCAGGATCAATGAAATCAGGAAGCAGGGCAATTGTCCAAAGGCAGGCATTCATATCCGACAGGATAGAGATGAGATCAGACACTGGCTCTGATGTGGTGCCACTTCTCACAGCTCTGCCTTTGGTGGATACAAACCACTGGCCAGGGCCAAATCCAGAGAAACATGTCTTGCACACCACCATCACTCATCACGATTAACGAGACTGGGAGCACACCAACTCTACTCAGATTACCAAGGGACGTTTGGGCCTGATGCTAACTCACTAAACCTCATTGACTTATATACCAGGCACCAGAAGTCCTCCTAACCAGGCTGTGTAACCCTAATCGTTTTGATCACATACACATGGCAGAGTGAAAAAAATCCGATCAGTGTTCCACACCCAGGACCAATTTTGATGTGGAGGTGCCGGTGTTGGACTGGGGTGGACAAAGTCAGATGTCACATGACACTAGGTTATAGTCCAACAAGTTTATTTAAGATCATAAGCTTTTGGAGCGCTGTTCTTTCGTCAGGTGTCATGTGACTTTTGACTAGGATCAATTTTAACAGAGTCCACACTCCCTTGCTTGAACCATCAGTGGTTGCACTCTTAGAGTTCACAGCGTGAGACTCAGGTCCCCTCATAGCACCCTATGCTGGGCCAAGTTGCGATAGGGTTAGGGTTAAGGCTAGGGTTTGGGTTAGGGTTAAGGTTCGGAATAGGGTTAGGGTTAGGGTTAGGGTTCGGGTTAGGCTTAGGGTTAGGGTTAGGGTTCGGTTTAGGGTTAGGGTTAGGGTTCGGGTAGGATTAAGTCTAGGGTTAGGTTAGGGTTAGAGTTAGGGCTAGGGTTAGGGTTAGGGTTAAGTCTAGGGTTAGGGTTAGAGTTAGGGTTAGGGTTAGGGTTAGGGTTAGGGTTAGGGGTTAGGGGTTAGGGTTAAGTCTAGGTTTAGGGTTAGGTTTAAGTCTCGGGTTAGGGTTAGGGTTAAGGCTTGGGTTAGGGTTAGTGCCCCTTAACCATGAGGAATTATTTCACTCTTTTACTCCCACTGTGAGTGTCAAGGGGAAAGAGCATTGAGCTTATCATGGCAATTATATCTCTAATGTTCCAAACGCACAACTTTAATACCAAAGTTGTGGGCTTGGGAGGAAGTTACGAGCCTGTGATGGAACGAGAGTGTTCTACACTCTGAACCAAAGGGTAAAGATTTGTTAATGTTGATCTCTGTCTGCACCTTCTTGACAGCTGTAACACTGTATCCTGCACTTTGTCCTGTTACCCTGATGCACTTGTATACTACGATCTGCCTGTAAAGCACGTAAGACGACACTTTTCACTGTACTTCATGGCAGTAATAAATCAAATCAAATCAAATCACTTATGGGACGGGGAATGGAGTGTATGAGGTTGCTGCAGAGGTGATGGCAAAAGCAATGCCATATGTAACAAGATGGGTGAAACATGATAACATATGACATAACAAGATGAACACATGGGCAACAGACAGATGGTTAGAAATTACACTGAATACATGTCTTCACATTCCATTTAAGATCAAGAAAAAAGATGATGTCAATGTCATTGCTTTTAACCATTGGGTAGATCACTGGAACCAGACACAATTCTACAGAATGTTGATATGACAAATCAGCTTCACTAAGAAAGAAAAAGGAATAACATTAAACAAATTCATCATACACAAGTGTTAAGAAATTTCAGTCAGTCAAGGAAAGTAAAATAATTAATTAGGGATGAGAAACGCTTGAGTACCTGCAATAGTCTGTTCCAGAATGATTGAAAACTGACCGATTCACATAAACATTTCAATTTTGATCAGATGTAGTCCCAAAATTCCCTTTCAGCATCAATAATGTTTGTCTATGGGATCCCATGTTCCTTACAATCAAGAATTTACCTTGATCTGCCAATATGGGGAAAGATGGGAGCCAGTTCTAATGGAACATTATCACTGTCATGAACTTGTTGGGCTGAATGTCCTGTTTCTGTGCCATATTTCTTCTGTAATCCTGTGTAATGTAGTCATTTCACAGCATGGTACGAGTGAAGTGTGTTTAATGGCTCCCACAGATCGCACACAAAGGCACTTACAGCAGAGGTAACAGTCACAGGACTACAGCAAGCTAGCCAGTACATTCAAGGTACAAAGGCATTTCTCCAAACATGGTATAATTCATGGGGCCATGACTAAGAAATGAACCAGTGATTCAATCCTCAGATGTACTGATTCACACTTGAGTAGAAAAGATTGAATGTAAAAATCAACAAATATGGTTTATTTGACGTAAACATGTAAAATAACATTTGTAACAAGTCTTACTTCACTTCGACATTAAAAACCCTCCCTGTTTGTCCTCTAAGATGGTCCTCCCGTGTCCTTCAAAATGGTTAGGAGAACCCATGAATGATTCACAAAGGGGACCAGGTTCTCAAAACGTAAAGTAAAAGCTATAAAATAAACCCTTTTGCTATTCTCAACCAACTCTCAATCCATGCATGGAGTTTGATAAAGATCTGCAAGGAAAGGAGTTATGAAAGGCGAATAGTCCTCAGGAGGAAGGCATCTTGAAATGAAACTTCAGCTTTGGAAATTTAACGATCGTCAGGTGATCATATCCTGCAAGTATAAATAGTTTACCCAGAAACAAATAACAGCCAGAGATAGGGCCTGTTAAAGTGTGAGACAACATAAATACTGATACATTTGTGTATCAGTATTTACACAAATGTATCAGTATTTACGTTGACCTGTACTGTTTTTCTCTGTTACGTCAAACAGAAGTTGGCATAAAGCCGGCCAGGCTCAGGCTCCGTACTGTTTTTCTCTGTTACGTCAAACAGAAGTTGGCATAAAGCCGGCCAGGCTCAGGCTCCAATCATCTTCGCTGTGGTAAAATGAACGGGAAATGTCAATTCTCACAAAATCTACCAAGAAATGGCAGTGAGTCATTCAATCACCGACTGACGAGATCCTGCTTCAGGCTTTGAGGCAAGCGGCATATTTCCTAATGTCCGGGCAAGTCAGAATAAGTGTTAACACATTTGTAATCCAAAACATCAAACAAACTTAAAATAGCTACTTCTCCACAGACCGCACAGTTTCTGAGCTGTTAACCCTGAAAAGTCACCCTTCAACATGTAGCATATTGAAAACGGAGTTACCCTGAAGTACTGGTTGGATGGAGGTTTTCAGGCTGCAACAGAGCCGTAATTTAATAGCAATTGTCTCCAACAATAAACATGTTTTGACATGTACATTGACAACATCAGTTTTACCTCACCACCGACTCTTTCGACTCCTCCGCAGTTGCTAGTTCATCAGGAGGTCAATCTGACACGCAGTCTGGATGAGCATTATGGACTGCCATTAATTATTGGGAACTCTGAAGCAAGGACAGGGACAGAAATCAGGGCCCTCCTGATTCAGCCCTTGCCCAGGCTCCCAGCTTTGCCCATCAAACCCCATCTCCCCAGCCCTGTTCTCAATCCAAACACAGTGGGGTCCCCCTGGAGCCCTGGGCCCAATTATCCTGTCCTCGACCCTGAGCACAGGCCATTGGTTTCACTCCCAGGTCCAAATTCTGCTGCTGAGCTACTGATTCCAACCTTCTCCATGGCAACAGTCTGAGATCAAACCACTCTCCTTGCAACCTTGGTGTCACATCTGACCATGAGATGAGCTTTAAAATACATATTTGTCCCAACACCTCTGACTTTCACCTCTATAACGTTGCCTGATTTCGGTCCTACTACAGCCCATCTCCTGCTCAAACCCTGATACCTCTGCCTTCAAGTTATCTATGATGTGGAGGTGCCGGTGTTGGACTGGAGTGGTCAAAGTCAGAAGTCACCCAACACCAGGTTATACTCCAACAGGTTGATCTGAAATCACAAGCTTTCGTAGCATAGCCCCTTTCTCAGGTGCAGTGAGAGGGAAGCACACACAGATACAGAGTTTATAGGCAGAGAGATCAGTCCCAACCTCAACCGTGCTCATGGTTCATGTCATGCTACATGTGACCCCACCACACTGTTCTGTATCTGTAAAATCTTCCTTACTGCCCTGCTTTAACACCATCACCTTGATAAATTGTTATGATCTCTCTACCTTAATTAGTTGATACAGTCTTGGATTACTTATCATTTTGGTTAAACCTTCAGCATGTGACTCTTATACCTATCATGTTATTCCAGCCATTTAGTTTGTCTCCAGCACCACCTTATTTTTAATTTTTTGTAATTATCTCTCTGCCTCATTTAATCAGATTATAGGTCACCCCTTCACTGGTTATTCAGCTGTTGACACTTTACTCACACTGTCTGACACTCTTGATCACCTTCAGAGACTTATTATCTGACACTCCACTCACACCATTTGTATGGTTTTTTGATCTCTCTGCCCTTGATCTCTCTGCCTATAAACTCTGCGTCTGTGCGCTCTTCCCTCTCACTGCACCTGAAGAAGGGGCTGCGCTCCAAAAGCTTGTGATTTCAAATAAAACCTGTTGGATTATAACCTGGTGTCATGTGACTTCTGACTTTGTTCAAGATGTCCAGAGATCCCACCTCCACCGCTTTCTGGGGAAAGACAATTCCACACATTCTCCATCTTCGGAGTGAAAACAAAAGTCTACCTTATCGCCATCTTAGATAGGAGGTCCTTTGTCTTTAATTATTTAGGGAGAGAATTCCACTTGATAAAGTTTAGACAAGTAAACAAAATGTGGAATGATGGAAACCAGAGTTGTTCAAGGGATCAAAATCAGATATAGTGATACAATCATAGAGTCATACCACACAGAAACAGACCCTTCAGCCCAACTCATCTGTGTCGACTAGATATCCTAAATTAATCTAGTCCCATTTGCCAGCATTTGGCCCATATCCCTCTAAACCCATCCCATTCATATACCCATCCAGATGCCTTTTAAATGTTATAATTGTACCAGCCTCCACCACTTCCTCTGGCAGCTCATTCCATACACACACCGCACTCTGCATGAAAAAGTTGCCCCCTTAGGTCCTTTTTAAATCTTGCCCCTCTCACCTTAATCCTATGCCCCTTAGTTTTGGACTCGCTCACCCCAGGGAAAAGATCTTGACTCTTCACCCTATCCATGATGTTATAAACCTCTATAAGGTCACCGCTCAGCCTCCAATGTTCCAGGGAAAATAGCCCCAGCCTATTTAGCTCCACCCGCCATAACTCAAATGCTCTAAACTCAGTAACATCCTTATAAATCTTTTCTGAACTCTTTCATGTTTAACAACATCCTTCTTACAGCAGGGAGACCAGAACTGAATGTGGTATTCCAAAAGTGGCCTAACCAATGTCCTGTATAGCTGTAATATGACCTCCCAACTCCTATACTCAATGCACTGACCAATAAATGCAAGCATACCAAATGCCTTCTTCACTACCCTGTCTACCTGCGACTCCACTTTCAAGGAACTATGAACCTGCATTCCAAGGTCTCTTTGTTCGGCAACTGCTACGTGTATAAGTTCTGCTCTGATTTGCTCTAGCAAAATGTAACACCTCACATTTATCCAAATTCAACTCCATCTGCCACTTCTCGGCCCATTGGCCCATCTGATCAAGGTCCCGTTGTACTCTGAGGTAACCCTCTTCGCTGTCCACCACACTAACAATTTTGGTGTCATCTGCAAACTTACTAACCATACCTCCCACGATCACATCCAAATCACTTATCTAAATGACAAAGGCAGTAGACCCAGCACTGATCCACGCAGCACATCACTCGTCACAGGCCTCCAGTCCCAAGAACAAGCCACTACTGTCTGTCTCCTACCTTCAAACCCATCTGAGGGCCATCAGACCGAAGACAATTACTACAGAATTCAACAAATCATGCCTCAGGATGTTGCTGCTTTAATAAATATCTAAAATCATCTTATGTAACATCAAAATTGATTTCGCTTTGGCACCTAGACTGAAAAGAATTCTTTCGTTCAGGGTCTAATGAAGCCAGTGTTTTTGGAGTGACTTTACCTGGGATGAATCCGCAAATGAGATTTAGATGGGAAACCAGCAGGAGCAATGAAACCTTCATGGCACTTCCTGGAAATTTAGTTCCGTTGTCAGTGACCAAATCCCCAGTTCAACAGCGTCAAGCACCTTAGGGATTCTCTGAAAAAAAGGAAGATTTTTTAAAAATCTGTGTTACTCAAGTGGTGTAAGGATAAAGAGAACAATTTCCAAAGTATGTCAATATTATGCTTACCCTGCATGTTGCAACAAATACAGCTGCAACTTGCATCAATGACTTGATGGAAAATTAGTCAAATTTTCAGACAATGCCAAAATAGGTGGGGTGGTGGAATCAGGGCCTTACAAGTTACAGGAGGAAGCAAAATGTGGATGGGTATGGTAACAGTGGGTGGGAAGTTATTGGGAATTTCAGGAAATCTTTGTCAAACTGTGCAGGGCATTACTCAGACCACTCCTCGTGGCCTGGGCCAAGTTCTGATCATGGAAAAATAGAAAGGCATTGCCATCCTGTGGCAAATAGCCAGAGGATGCCCTCCAGTCTCTGAAGTGTGTAGGTGCAGCCGACAGTGAAAGTGACAAATGCTCTGTTGGTCTTCAAGAGGATTTGAGTATAGGAACAGGGATGTCTCGCTGCAACTCTTGGTGAGATCACACCCTGGATTATTGTGTGCAATTTGGTTTTCTGTATCTGAGGAAAGATGTTCTGGCTATGGAGGGAGTGCAATAAAGACTGATTCCTAGGATGGTGGGGCTGACATTTGAAGAGACCTTGGTTTAGTTAGGATGATTCTCACTGGAGTTTAGAAGAATGGTGGGATGGGGGGGAGTCTCTTATGAAATTCTAATCAGATTAGACAGGGTAAATGCCGGAAGGATGTTCCCGATGACCAGGGAGTTGAGAACCAGTGATTACAGTTTAAAGCTACAGGGGGATAAGGAGAAATGTCTTCACCCCGAGCCTGCGGAATTCTCTGCCACAGAAAGCGGTCGATACCAAAACAGTGAACATTTTCAAGAAGGAGTTAAATATATTTCTTAAGGTTAAAGGGATCAAAGGTAAATGGGGGTGAAAGTGGGAACTGGGGACTGAGTTAGATGATCAGCCATCATCAGATTGAATGGCGGAGCAAGGTCGAAGGGCCGAATGGCCTACTCCTGCTCCTGTATATGTTTCTATGTTGGGGCCCTGTGTTAGATTTCAAAGACTGGCAAGACTATGGGAGAGAAATTTGTGGTGGTGCAAAACAGGCCATAGGTGGGCAAGCTGCCCAACGTACACAGTGATACTGAGTTCCACCAACTGCAATGGAAGTATGTGCTGATTGGTCTGGGAGGGATGGTCTTGTCACTAGCTACTAGATCCCAGCTAATGCTCCATGGACACGAGCTCAAATATCAACACAAGAGCTGGCAGAAGTTAAACTCAGTGATTTAAAAAGAAAACAATCTGGAATTGAAAGCTCATCTCAGTAAAAGTGACTGTGAAATGATCATTTATAGTGACCCATCTGGTCCACTCATGTGAAATCTGCTATCCTTCCCCAGTCTGGCCCACATGTGACTCCAGGCCCACACTCTCTTAACTGCCCTCTGAAATAATGCAGCAAGTCACTCAGTTCAAAAGCAATTAGGGGTGGGCAGCAAATGCTGGCCTTGCCAGCAACATCCACTTCCCATAAAAGACAAAGATGCAAATATTTGTTCCAGGTTACATCTTTAAACTAAAGAGTGATATTCAAACAAGGCAAGTTCATACTGGTTCAGGTAAAATGAGGAGGATCTTTTCTTTCACAGATACAGTGATGAAGCAGTGGACAAAGTACAATCAAATGAAAAGACACAGCTGATTGGAGAGAAAGTTGTGTTATTCCTCATAGATAGACTAAGATAGGCCGAATGGCTGTCTATATCCATTAGAGTTAGTCAGCTGGCAGTGGTTGGGGCATTGGGGGGTTGCCCAGGGTTGCCACAGGCTCCTCTTTCTGCAACACTTCGGCTTGACATTGGAGATGTGCTGAATCTTTCCACAGTCTTTCTATTCAGTTTGGTCAGCCTTAGACTGAGCTTTCCAGATGTCAACGTTAGGGGTCTTCAAGGAGGCTTTGAGGTTATCTATGAACAGCTTCTTCTGCCTTCGTGGGCTTTGCTTATCGTGTCAAAGCTCCAGGTACAGCACTTGTTTCAAAGATCTCGTGTGAGGCACGCGGATGATGTAACCCACCAGCAGAGCTGGTCGAGGCTGGGTAAGGTTGGCCTTGAGCAAGTATCCTCACATTGGTGAGCCAAGCCCACCAACAGATCCTGCAGAGGCAGGGCTAGAGGTACCTCTCCAGGATACCAAGGTGCCCGCTGTACCCAGTCCTTGTCTCTGAGCCATTATCACTATTGCTCTATACACCATGAGCTTGCCAATTGAAGGCAGTACTGAGCCTCATTGTCGGTGTCTGCCCTTGTTGGCAGGAATCCCCCAAGGTATGGAAAATGGGCATCGCCATCCAAGGCCTCGTCATGGATTTTGGTAAGAGGATAAGAACAGCATCAGTGCAATGACCAGCCATGCCTGATCTCGATCCAGATTTTTGATCTGTGGGTGGATCTATTGCTTAGGATCACAGCTTATATATCATCACGGAGCAGGCAGAAAATCACAACAAAATTTGGGCGCAGCTGTAACAGAGGATGGCAGTCCATAATTCCTGGTGGTGGACAATGTCGAAGGCCTTTATGAGGTCAAAGAAAGACATGTACAAGGGTCAGTGCGGTACCCTGCATTTTTCTTGTAGTTACTACATGGTGAGGACCATGTTCATAACCAAAAACCCTTCCCAGCCCACTTATACTCTCTCCCACCCTCTTCCATTGGGCAGAAGATATAAAAGTCTGAATACATGCACAAATAGGTTCAACAACAGCGCCTTCCCCGCTTTCGAATGGACCTCTCATGTTAATTCTAATCACACTCTCTTGCACCTTCCCTGTGGCTGTAACACTGTATTCTGCACTCTGTTCTGCTACCCTGATGCACTTTGTATGGAGCGATCTGCCTGTGGAGCATGCAAAACAACACTTTTCACTGTATCCCTGTACATGTGAGAACAAATTAGTCAATCAAATCAAATCAAATTGTTACTGTGCCCCTTTGAGGATGGAATCCACGTTTTGATCGTGGAAGCAGCTTTTTAATCACAGGGAGAAGGTGACTGAGGGGCACTCCTGTGATAACTTGCACGTGTGTGCCAGCAAAGAAATCCCTCTGCCATTACCACATTCAGGCCTGTCACCTTTCTAGAAGGTGGTCAGGATTCAGGCTTCTTGAAGATATCTTGGCATTCACTCCTGTTTCCAGATAAGGGAAAGGAGGAGATGGAATCGTATCAATGAGGGAGAACTGTGGGTGTGCTGCACAGCAGGAGGTGAGATTCCAACATAGTGGCAGAGCAGGACAACTCAGCCAGAGCTCATCTGTTTTGTCTGCCTCTATTCCTGGTTTTTCTCTTCTTTTTCTCATTTTGTGTTGTTTTTTTCTCTTCTTTCTTCTCCGTGAACTCCCAGCCTCAGCATAGACTTGGACTCTTGGCCTCAGCACTGACCCAGCAAGGCGTCTTCTCGACCTGGCATGACGGATTCTCAGCCCAGTGTGGCGGTCCCTTGGTGGTTCGACATGGCGGCCTTTCGGCCCGGTGTGGCCTCGTATGGGACTGCCGGCCTTGGGGTGATTCATAGTCTGACACGGACTGGAGGCAAGGCCCAGCATGGACTAGGTTGGAAGGACAGTTATTCCGAACTGTTTATTTCTCTATTTTTCTAATTTATTCTATAATGCTGGACTTTTCATTTCTTATTTTACTATTTTTTTTCCTCAGAACTTGTACTGAAGAATCTGTATCTGGTTACCTTGTACTTAAGATGGCACCGTAAGTGGTGACTTGTAAACTTCACTGTACTCATTTGAGTTCATGTGACAACAAAACCAGTTCAATTCGATCTTTCAGACACGACACTTCCTCAGACACTGAAAAAGGATGTATCTGGGTGACAGGACTGTCCTGTCAGGAGAATTTGGTTTGACTGGGCTTTTATTTACTAGAGTTTAGACAAATGAGAGGGGATCTGATTAAAACGTATAAAATTCCGACAGACCCAGGGTTCCGGGGGAATGTTCACTCAAAGCATGGTGAACCTGTGGAATTCTTTACCACAGAAGGCTATTCAAGCCATGTCACTGAATGTATTTAAGAAAGAGATAAATAAGATTTTAAAGGCTTCAAGGGGTACAGGGAGAATTGTGGAGCAGGCTCAAAGGGCCAGATGGCCTGTTCCTGTTTCTAGTTTCTTTGTGTCTTTATCTGATACTTCTCCAGTTAATAATACAAGAACCAGGCTGATGTAAAAACGTTCAGCGAAGATGTGAAAAAAAAAATGACAAGAGAAGCAAAGACAGGATATGAGTAGACCCTGGCAGGAAAAATAAAAAGGAATTCAAAATTTTCTGGGGGCACAAAATTATTAAAACAGTTATTTATAAAATAAAGTAGAGTAAAGCTCATCCAATAATGCAAGACTCCCCAAAGCCTGTCCACCATCTACAAGGCACAAGTCAGGAGTGTGAAGGAATACTCCCCTCTTGCCTGGATGAGTGCAGCCCCAACAACACTCAAGAAGCTTGACACCATCCAGGACAAAGCAGCCGCTTGATTGGCACCACATCCACAAACATCCACTCCCTCCACCACTGACGCTCAGTAGCTGCAGTGTGTACTATCTACAAGATGCACTGCAGAAATTCACCGAAGATCCTCAGACGGCACCTTCCAAACCCACGACCACTTCCATCTCGAAGGACAAGGGCAGCAGATACATGGGAACACCACCACCTTCAAGTTCCCCTCAAGCCACTCACCATCCTGACTTGGACATATATCACCATTCCTTCAGTGTCGCTGGGTCAGAATCCTGGAATTCCCTCCCTAATGGCATTGTGGGTCAGCCCACAGCAGGTGCACTGCAGCGCTTCAAGAAGGCAACTCAAGTACAACTGGGGACAGACAACAAATGCTGGCCAGCCAGTGACACCCACACCTTATAAATGAATAAGGAAAAAAATAACTGGATAAATTCCAATGTTGCACCTTCATTTA